AATCGTTACTTTTTGTCGCCTTGGTCTGGAGCCGGCATTAGAATCAATTTACTAAGGTGTCCTATATTAAGGCAATGTTCAGTTAGAATTTTACTTAAGGTTTGGACAGGGGTTAGAAATTGTTATAAATCTTAAGTATTCTGTACATTTATTTTATTTTTTATTAAAAATACTTTAAATTGACAGTGAGTCCTCTGATATTACCATTCTTGATATTACCTCTTTGTACAAAATAACAATTTAGGAATAATGGAAATTATATTTAATTTAAATATGCATAACAATCTTTTATAAAATTACGTTACATACTATAGTATTAGTTACATAGTTTTTATTTTTTATTGTATATCGACAATTTCTAATCAGTTCATATACTACTAATTTATTTATCGTTTTGATTCTAAAATTCTATGCCATTAATGCAATTTCAAATCCATACATAATCTGCATAAGCCATTTATTAATATTTATTGGTATTCAACGATATATTTTAATATTTTGCGTGAGAACAACCGTTCTTAAGTGAAATTGTTATTAAACAAGCATAAAACACGATATAGAAACTTAACTCGACTTCTCTCGTTATGATTGAGCGTACTCAAGTAACATTACTGATAATGACTATAACATTATTTGTTTAATGATGCTCTGCTGATTTGTTTAATGATGCTTTCCATCGAATTTATTTATAATTCTTGTTGTGTGATCCATAAAAGTTAACAGTGTGTTTTCTTCAAATATAAATAAAAAATAATATGCTACGCCAGTAGGAGAACTTGGAAAATCCTAGCAAATACATCTATATACACCAGCTGTCTAAGGATAAAACATACCGGAATAGCACCATAATACAAAACATAACTCTAATTCATAAGAAAGGCAGCAAGGAAACTATAGACCAATACGTCTACTACCAGTAATAATATATTCACAAAATGATAAACAACAGAATACAAAACATGCTAGACGCTGCACAACCATGAGAACAAGCAGGCTTTTGAAACGGCTTCAGTATGATTGATCACATACATACACTAAGAGAAACTATCAGCCGAATAAAAAGTACGAACCACTAGCTATAGTCTTTATACATTTTGAGAAGGCTTTCAACATACATCCTAAGGCAATAATACATCCTAAGGCAATAATAGAAGCCCTAGCGAAACAACGTATTGACAGGCCTTATACAGAAACTCTCGACAATATATACAAAAAAGCCAAAGCAGGAGTAATGATATATAAAACAACCCCAGATTTCCCAACTGGCAAAGAAGTACGACAGGGAGACGCGATATGCCCAAACTGTTTACAGCAACTCCAGAAGAAATCTCCCTTTAACTGGACTGGATCAACAAAGGATTAAAAATTAGATGGTAAATCTTAACCATCTAGGATTCGCTTATGATATAGTTCTATTTGCCAATAGTCCTGAAGAACTACAAGCACGAATTGACAAACTAACTACAGCCAGCAATAAAGTAGTGTACAACGAACTACTAGAGTAAGAGACATTCAAATAAATAACACAACACTTGAAACAGTAGAAGAATATATTATTTGGTACAACTAATAATAATACACAGCTCAGAATTACTACCAGAAATCAACAGAAGAATTAAGTTAGCATGGAGTACTTATGGAAGAAACTCAATCATATTCAAATCTAGAATTCAACTCTATCTAAAGAAGAAAACATTCGACTAATGTGTACTGTGTACTATCAGTCATGATCTATGCATGCGAAACCTGGACACTTAAAATGGATATTATAAGGAAAATGCAAGTCGCACAACGCCCAATGGAACGAAATATGCTGGGAATAACAAAAAGAGACCGTAAAAAATAGAGTGAATAGGACGAAAGACCCAGGTAATAGACGTAACACGCAGAATCAAATCCCTTAAGTGGCAATGGACAAGAAGGCCTGGCAACAAGGATGGACCACAAAAATTACAGCATAGTACCCACTATGAATTAATTATTTATTAATTAGAAGAAAACCGAACCTGAGATGGGACCATGATACTAGGAAATTAGCAGGAATAACTTGGGCATAGCCAACAACAGACAACAATGGGCCCAACTACAAAGAGAGTATCTAAATATGTGACGGAGACTACACTATAATTGGAAAAGCTGAAAATGATGATGAAGATGTTTTTTTACAATTTCCTTTCCCTATTAAAACTGAGAAATTATTAGTTGAAATTTTTTGTATATATTTGATTGATATTATATAGTTATATTTCTAATATAGGGACGAAATATGGAATATGTGGTCTCTTTTAAATTTTACTACACCTTACTGTTTATTTGGTCATACATTAACTATTTAATTTTTGTTTAAAGTGACTATGATGAAAATCCACATACTAAAATGTTTCTGTTCTTAGTTATAATATAATATTTGTAACGTTTGGTTTACGTACGAGTAGTTCTGGACAATCTGTATACACATGCGTTTTTTTCTGTTCTCTTAATTCAGCAGCTGCATTAGTATGACAATCCAAAAAAGGAAATATACTCTTCACTGTATAAGACTGCTGTTATTTGCCAAAGCAGTATAAACTGACGATTTAGTTATTAAACTAATACAACCATATACAGTTATGTGTTAATTAATATTTTTTTTAAAGTTGATGTCCTACTCTTTGCAAAAATTAAATAATAGAAATATTGGACATTAATTAATATTTTATTCAAACATGACCTATATTTTGATTGTATTTATATTTATTATAATTTAAAATTGCTTTTTTAAATATGAGATAATTTATGCAATTTTTTATTTGATAATTTTAGAAAAATTGTCATACAACAACATAAATTGAATTTAATATCTAATGGACAAAAGTTTTAATCCTTAAAACTGTTTTCAGGATTTCATTAATGTCCAATCAACATGAAATTCTAAAAAAAGGACTTATCAAAAGATTAAAGCTTTCGATTTTCTTGTTTAATATTCGAAATATAATTTTTTGTTTTTCAAAAAATTTATCAAAATTAAGAAATCCAGACAAGGAAAGTGGCTCACCGCTATAACTTTGTTATTTTTTCAGATAAAAAAAATGAGATTTGGGAAGTTAATAAATATGACATAAATTAGAATTGATTGACGTATTCAATTGTTTTTGGTCACTTCCTGTTTCACCGGAAATGACTACAGCTACTCGTTTTTAAATGATACCCTCGGTATATTTTTACTTTATTCGATAGAAAATGACACTTTGAATAGAATGACATATCATGTGTCAACTGTTGACATTTTCGAGAAATCAATCTAGAGTGCCATGGTTGTGCTAAAAACACCAATTTCGGAGCCTTGGAAAAATAGATTTCATCTAATGTTTTTCGTGTCTTGTCCTGGCCGATTAAAAGATGCCCAAATCTTTTTTTAATCATATCTCCTTTTTTTCAAATGGAACGAGGGTGGCTCATTAGTATATTTCGCAAACGCATTTTTTATGAATAATTTGTTACCACATACTTTTATTGTATTTTTCGTGTTTTTCTTTGGTATTACGAGTCAAATTGTCGTTATGAACCGCATGTTACAATTTCAAATAAACCATATTGCATATTATGCGAAAATATAAGGAACATATCAAAAGTTGACATATGATATGTCATTGTATGCAGAGTGTCATTTTCTATCGAATAAAGTAAAAGAATACAGACGGTGTCATTTAAAAATCAAAAATTTTCGTTATTTCCAATGAATGAGGACGTGACCAAAAACAATTGCATACGTCAATCAATCCTAATTTATGTCATATATTAACATACAAAATCTCGTTTTCTTATCTGAAAAAAATAAAAAAAGTTATAGAGGTGAGCCACTTTTGAGACGCACTCGGTATATTGCCCATGATGGATAAACTGCAGAGTTGAACATAGAGTTATCTTTAATCAAACACCATTTTATTTTTTGTATTAATATATTCTTACTATTTATATTAATATAACCTTACTCTAATAACTGTAAAAATAGGAAGATCGAAAAAAAATGGCGTCACAGTGGTCGTAGAAATGCCAATCGATGATAATTTTTGTCAGATTGAAATATTATTTCGCCCGTTATATGTTCTTTCTTAAAATTTGACATTAGAACTGGTTACAAATTAATATACTTATAACATAAGTACCGTACGATCGAAAAAAAAGGCGTCAAGTTCTTCCAAAGACATTTCCCATATAAAATGAAATTCATTTCATAGCCATCGCTGACACCGTTTTTTTTTTCGATCATACGGTATTTTGTTCTACCAGAGACAAATCTATACATTCAAAAATTAATTTTTACTGTTCAAGCATTTGAAAAATTGACATATTTATGGAAACTTTTTACTTTTTTCAATTTAAATATTAATTTTTTGGTTGAACCGACAAAAATATCATTGGTAATTGATTTCAGTGATGCTATATTTTATATACATAGTCTGTTTAATAAAAGCGTCCATGACAGTGTGTCTGTCATTTTAATTCAAAGGCAAATTGTATTTTCTGTATTTTTTTTGGATGTTGTCTTCAATAACATAATAATATAAGGTAATACGGTATGATCGAAAAAAAGGGCAATGACAATCGGTGATAATTTTGGCAATTTTTTACTAATAATTGATACAAAACTGTCAAAACTAACACTAATTAGTGAAAGATATAAAAAGAATAGAACGTTTCCATACACGCAAATCTATTTCCAAATTAATATTCTTTTTTCGAATTTTAAACCACATCATTTAAAAATCATCTTTACTCAATATAAAATTCAACACCTTCTTAAGACAAAACTGACAGAAAGCGCCATTAAAAAAATTAAATAGTGCCCGGATCAAGTAAATGACATCTAGGGCTTGACCTGATCAAAATTATCATCGATTGTTATTCCCCAGCCGTCTTTGACGCCGTTTTTTTTTCGATCGTATGTTTTATTACAGTCAGATATACTGTTTTTTTAACAAATTTAACATCTGCGAAACAACGATAAATCCAAGACTCACCTCGTTACAAATAGAAAATAATTCCACTTTAATCAGAAAATCGAGGAACAGAAAGCGCCGTCAGAGTAAGCGTTTTATTCGGACCAGAACCGGAACGAAAAAAATCTCTGCGTATTTTTACCAGGCGAACCAACACTTTTCGCGCTCTAATTTTCGGATGATGTCGTTCCACGGATCGCGTACTATCAACTGATTTCTTGTTCTTGTGTTTTGGTATGTCGGTAGTACGTACCACTACTGTACCACCAGCCGACTTTGTCCATTCATGTCTTCGAGAAAGCAAACCTGGCGCCTTATGGGACTGTATTGGAAACGAGTGACATTACGCATTTGTCACGGGTTAAAGAGCTTCAGATTTTTTAACGTCTTGATGGTTTGGCAAAAAAGCCTTAACCGAATTACGTAGTTAGTCAATAATACGCTTCAATACATAAATAACATATTAAGTACTTACGTGATTGAAGAAGAACGTAAATTATGACACATTTATATATTTTCATAGATTTTTTAATACTGTTTTTTTTTCGTAAACTTAATTTTTAGAATTTGCTTATTGTAGAATTGTAGAATGTTTAGCAGGGGAGGAATCACCGCGACCTTACAGATCTATTGTGTTCCCCTTTCTTCTAAAGTTATAACGCGATATAACTCTATAGAGGCCAGCTCTCCATCCTCGACATCAGTCGTACCAAAGTTCATGGCACGAACGGTCGTCGTATCGGCGCATTCATTGATAAGGTGTTCTGGTTTTTCCCCATTTTTCCCATAGAATCTGGATTCGCCGTTGTTTCTCAGCTTCAACCTACCGAGGTGTTGGTTGAGGAGATACTGTCCTGTTAGAAACTCCGTGACAATCTGAAGACCGTTTTTACTTAAATCAAGGAAAATCTTTGATTTTTCTCGGTCGTAAGTTCTGAGGAAGTTTTTCGAGTGTCTTAGACCGGTTGGAGGACACCCATTCCAGGTTACGGATGAAGTCTTCCAGGTTCTTCAGTTCCTCTTTCAGTTGGTACCCGCTTGGAAAACAGAAGGAGTGTTCGCTCCTTTTCTAGCTAGGTCATTTGCCTTTTCATTGCCTTCTATCCCATGGTGAGCAGGCACCCAGAGTAGGTGGACTTTATTTTCTTTGCCTAATTTGTTGAGCTTGTCTAGGCATTCTTTGACCAACTTCGAATTGATGATTACTAAGCTGATCGCGTTTGGTTGAAATTTTGGTTTGTTAGTATATGACATAAATCAGGATTGAATGACGTATTCAAATAGTATAGGTTACTTCGTGTTTCGCCGGAAGTAACTACAAATTTTGATTATTAAATGGCACCCTGGGTGTTTTTTTTTTCTTTATTTGTAAAAAAATGCCACTCTGAATAGAATGACATATCATAGGTCAACTTTTGACATCTTTGCTTAAAAAATAGTATTTTAAATTTAAATCTAGAGTGTCATGGCTGTGTTAAAACTACTAATTTTTAATCAAGAATCTTTGGAAAAATATATTTGATCATCTAATGATTTTTGTGACCTGGCCAGTTAAAATAGGCCTAAATCGTATTTTGAATCATCAATCAATTAAATTTTTTCAAATGGAACAATAGTGGCTCATTAGCATATTCGGAATAATCTTCTTTTTAAGAATAATTTGGTATTACATTTGGTATTTCGAGTCTAATTGTTGTTATGAGCACAGCCAGATTGCCGAGTACACCAGATTGAAATTTAATATACTATTTTTTAAGCGAAAATGTTAAAAGTTGTCATATCAGATGTCATTCTATTCAGAATGTAATTTTCTATCAAATAAAGTAAAAAATAATGAAGATACCATTTAAAAATCAAAAGTTATACAATACGTCAATCAATCCTGATTTATATCATATACAAATATAGCAAAACTGGTTTTTTAGTCTGAAAAAAAGTTATAAGGGTTTAACTTTCGAAAAATACCCGGTAAAACCCTACCATACCATGATAGATAGGATGGACTTCATTCAGAATGAACTCTCCGATTAGCGAGTAGTTCTTCTTATAGTACCATCTTCTAATGAATGTTGGCAACAATCGCGGCGAAACACTGTCAGCTGTCCTGTGCAGCTCGTAACAGTTCGTGTGAGTTCAGTCCAGTCTCGTAAGTTTTTCAACCAAGAGTGCTTGCGTCTCCCAAGTCCTCTTTTGCCTTTTACCTTTCCATCCTAATCCCAATTAACAACCTACCAAGGTATGCAGACGACACTGCGATTATCGCTGACAACCCTGAGGCTCTTCAAGGACTTCTAGACGACATAATTTGGGAAGGAGAACCATTGGGTCTTAAAATATACACGGCAAAAACCCAGATAATGTCGTTAGTAGGAGAAATATTCCACATACGAGTATATGGACAATGCGTAGACACGATAAATAAGTTTAAATATTTGGGATCCTGGCTAACATCGGACCTTGACCCCGACTTAGAAGTTACATCGCGTATAGAACAGGCTAGATCAATGTAACCGATCACTCAACGTCAACTTACGTCTGCGTTTTGTTCGTTGTTATGCATACTCAATCCTCTTATACAGCTGTGAGACATGGACGCTTAAAATGAACACCATGAGATGGTTGGAAGCTTTTGAAATGTGGATCTACAGAAGACTTTTGAAAATACCCTGGACGGATCATGTACGCAATGAAGATGTTCTGGGGAGGCTTAACAAGGAAAGGGAATTGCTTGCAAATGTAAAAAAAACGAAACACAGCATACCTGGGTCATGTCATGCGCAATAGTAGAGCAAAACTTCTGAAGATGATTATAGAAGGCTAGTAGTGGCATATAGCCAAAGAGGTTAGAACATATAGCACATATTGAGCTGTCCCGTTTTCCTGTTTACATCTCCTGTAGAGCTGTGTGTCATTTTGTGAAAGTGTCTTTTGTCTTATACGAAACAGACTATGTAGTCTATGTGTACATACTATGTAGTCAAAGTTTCTGATATTTTCCGATGAAAAAGAAAATTGTGAATGCGTTATTTCTTTCTTTATCAGCGAGACTAGAATTGAGGAAAGTAGGGCCTGTAATACAGTGAATGTAGAACAATATTATCGATGTTATGCCAGGCTGGTTGATTTTTAATGGGATTTTTGGTCGTCACACAAAATAAAACGAATTGTTCGTAATCGAAGCAAATTTTCTTATTTATTCGTTTCCTATTGTTTGTGATTTTTGATAAAGCAGAAATATTGGAGAAAGTTGAACGAATCTATAAATTTAAAAATGTAATAAGTTTCGAATTTAGCATAATCTTTGTTATACAGAAAGTGCAACACACATTTATTTTTCTATGTTTGATTAAGCCACCCTCGTTCCATTTGAAAAAATTGAGTTATGATTAAAAATACGATTTTGGGCGCGATTCTCACTAAAAATTCGGCGTTCCACTAAAAAAAAAAGAAAAATAATTTTATATTTGATTGTTTGGTGTAGAATTTTGAACATATTCTATGATTTAAGAGTATGATATTTATAACAAAGTACAGACCATCTAAAGTAAATACCTGATATAGTTTTGATTTCAGGATAGATCTTGTATTTTTAATAAATTTTTAAGGAAGGCTGAAAAATATATATTTGTTATTTATTTATTATCTCGGAAATTATGGAAATATATTTATTCATATTTTAGGACTATGTAAAGTGATTTGAAAGAAACCAAAAATCCGATAATATACAGGGTGTTCTATTTAAAAAGTCATCCCTATCCACAGACACTTTTTTTGCCACCCTATTGAAGTTATGTTTGCACTTAAACAAAATTTTCAAGTCATGCCCCAAGCACTGTTGCCGGACCCTGTATAAATGTAATTTATAGTATTTCAGCAAGTGTTAGTTACATTAGAAAATAAGTTTCTTTTAATTGAAAGTTAAAAATCGTTACAAAATGTAATTTTCTTGTTTCCTATATATACATAAATTAATAACAAAAAATAGTCTCAACATAAATACCTATATAGTGAAATCAGAAACGAGAATGTATCTTATACCATATACAAAAAATGTACTAATAACATTAAATGTAGCATAAACAGTAGTGTCTGCAGGAACTGAATTTCCGTTTGTTTTTTAACAGGAATTTAGTAATTTACATGCAGGAAAGAAAGAGTGAATTTTAAGAGAATGCTACCTATTGCAGCGCGACATATATTTTATAATATAAATATATAAATTAGTTTAGAAATTTTGTAATTTTGGACTATTAAATAACGCGTATCCAAATTACTAATGTGTTACAAATTATCCAGAGAAAGTTCAGTTAAAGGAAATGGAAAGGAAATAATAATCTTAAAGTAATTAAGCGAAAATGGTTTAGATTTTTTAATTTTTAAACATATTTACCACAAAAACATCTAGGAAGTATTAGGTGTATAGATTAAGAAAAATAACAGGGGCATGTATAATATATAATCTATACTAATATATAAAATCCATTAATCACAATCCTGCTCAAACCACTCAAAGTAAGAAGCTCAATTTTGGCATACAGGTTGATTCTAGGGTGTAGAGGTTCGATAAGAAGGGATTTTCCGAAATTCCAGTTCCAAGAGGGCGAAACCACCCCTCAAATATTACAATATATTTGATTTAAAAAACGGTCAAGTTTCCGAAAAAACGCTTAAACACGTATATTTTATTTTGTTTTTTACATATTTTAAATTTTTTTAAAAATGTATACAGGGTGTTTTGAAAAATCTGGTCATTGATTAATCACGATCCTGCTTAAAGCGCTTGACGTAAAAAGCTGATTTTTGGAAAATAGATTGACTTTAGGGTGTAGAGGCTCGATAAGAAGGGATTTTTCGAAACACGAATTCGAAGGGGGTGATACTATCCCTCAAATATTAAAATATTTTTTATTTAAGAACCGGTGAGTTTTTCGGAAAAACTCTTAAACTTTCTTTGTTGTTTTACATATTTTAAGATTTTTTAAAAATTTATACAGGGTGTTTCATAAAATATGACCATTGAGTAATCATGATTCTGCTTAAACTGCTTGACGTTTAAAGCTGATTTTTGGCAAACGAATTGAAAAAGAATTGATTGAAAGCTGATTGATTCTCGAATCTCAAATTCCAAGAGGGTGAAAACGCCCCTCAAATATTAATATATTTCTTATTTAAAAAACGGTTAGTCTTTCGGAAAAACGCTTGGACAAGCATGATTTATTTGTTTTTTTTACATATT